GAGATTGAGCCTTATTCTGAGACATGAATACCATGCAAAACTTCAAGGAAGAGCAGCCATTATCTTTGTACAACAAAATGATATTACCAGAAAAAGGATAGCTTCTAATGAACCTAAAGTAACAAAAGTTAATGTAGAATTGGAAAGAAGATTCCTTAGCATTCTGTTTGTAATTATTAAATGTTGAAGAATAACAAAGATAGAGCAGAGGAAGGGCTTTGTATTGAGAATATTTCTAAATAATATTCAGTTTTTCCCCCTTGGGAGTAAAAAAAAATGAAAGGTCACATAAACTACATTTTAGACTCAGGTAGTGGTTTAAAAATCTATCATGAATCAGAGGTAACACTGAGCTAGCTGGCACAACCTAGTTAGAGAAACGTTGTTAATTCTATTGTTAGTCCATTTTTCCTTTCAATTAAGAAAAAAAATGACTGAGTTAATAATAATGTGCCCCACTCTTCTGACTGATAACAAAAGCTATCAAGAGCAGTCCAATTTCTGATAGCCCAGGACAAGAGCATTTTTAGAAAATCAAGATTGGGCAGCTGAGATACACATCTTGCTTGTTCAGATAATGCCTGGAGTTCTAGTTGGCCTTCTCGCAACTTCACCCAAAAGAACAAGCCCATACTAATGAAAGAAGTGACCCAGCACAGTAAAACCTGATTCAGAAGAACTCATTAACATCACGGTCATTCTTAGCCTCATCCATTCAGAGGGAGAACGTCAAATTTGGAAGAAGTAGTCTACTTTGCCTTGAACCAGGGTGAGAACATTGGATAACGTTATAATAATTGATAACAATTGGTGCCATTTCAATCATTTCCTTTTTATTATAATAATCAACTCAAATAAGTAGGTCTCCCTATTTTACGTTCCAATGGCACTATTTTGATTTAGGTAAAAACCTGGGGGTAGACTAGGGAGGGTTTAGGTAAGATTGTTTTTTTACTACTCAGACTAGTTAAGAAGTCATTCAAATAAGCAGCCTTAAATTTTCCACCTGATCCAAGAGAAAATCAGAGAGGAAGCAACCCTCAACAGGGTACAGAGCTCTAAAATATTATATTCTCCTTTTTTACCATCCATGGTTAGGGGGAAAGGGAACCAAGACACCAGAGTACAAACCTAATGATGTCACATATTTATTTTTATATATATATATATATATTTTTTTTTAACTTGAAAACCTTCAAAGGCTCCCTTTTGCCAAAGATAAAGTCCAACTTCCTGGCATGGATGCAAAGGTCTTCATGTACAGTTGCCTGTGGATTGTAATATCACCTTAGTTGAAACCCCAGGAAAACCTTTCTAGGAAAAGCTATTTCTAAGGTGGAGAGGGGAGGAGAGTTTAGGTAGAGGGAATATGCCACTGAGTAAAGCCCAGATGACAGAAGCCCTAAGGTATACAGGGAAACCCAAGCAGCTGGATACTGTGGAACGTAAAATGTGAGGGAGGAAATAGCGAACTATTGTAATTTAACCAACTGAAATTATCAAGAACCCTTAGGATGTACTCAGCAATGGCTTATCACAAATCTATCTCCAGGCTTCCATCTTTTAAGCTCAGATAATTTAAGAGAAAGGATTTTCTCTTCTTTATTTTTATTTTTAAATAACTGCACAAATAATATATGTATTCCTTGTTTAAAAGAATTCTATAACTAAGGATAAAATCCCTTTGAACCCTTTAATATCCCCACTCCCAGAAACAACTAGTCTGACATGTATATTCTTTCAGAATGTTTACTATACATTCGTAAATATGTACCCACAAAAATATATAGTATTACTTTATGTTCTACGGTTTCCAGATACATGGCATACTTCGGCTTTCTTCTTTTACTAGACAATGTTTTAGAAGTCTATCTACGTAAGTCCAAATAGATCTAACTTATTATTTTACATTATAGAAAACTTAACAGCTCAATTAATTTAGCTATTCCCCTACATTGGTTATTTAGGTGTTGACAATGCATTTTTACAGCACCATTCAGAGTTTGGCAACCTAGATAGGGAAGAACAGTTCTGAAAATCACATACACTCATCTCCAAAGTCAAGAAATAATGTGTCTTCTTGGTGATAATAGTTTGTTTTCAGTTTGACGCATCTTGTGAAAGTGAGTTAGACTAATAATTAAGAGAAATCCTCAGTTTTTGGATTCAAACTGCAGCCAGAGAAAATGAAATAACGATAAATACTTGTCAATATGTGTGAATCTCTTCTGAAATTCTAATTTTATTTCCACCAAACAGTCCTAGAAATTCTGTATATATATTTTTCACTGAGCTCAAACCCTAGGAGTCTAGTATCTAGTGATTTGCTCAATTCACATAATCCATTTGAATCTAAATACTTGAACTTCCTTGAATAAGTTAGCAACATTTTTCTTTTTTGATGAGGTTTAATAATCACTGTATCTAATATCTTACAATGTTGGTAAGAAAATATAGTTTTGGGAACCCTCGAGGATTAAGTGAATTGGGCTAGTTCAAAATGGTCCTTGATACAAGGAAGGAGATCATTGAGGAATCTTTTCATTAAGTTTCCACTGCATTAAAACAAAAATTTTAAATTTCCAGAGTACACTATAGGTTCTTTTAAAACACTGTAAGTTGACCGTGGTTAAGAATACAAAAAGACATCCTTCTTGCAATCTCAATCACTTCTTCTATAATACCAGTGTTTACAAGTTAGAAAGGTCATAGCCCTTAGTCTTCTAATTAATGATTTAATGAAACATAGATACACCAAATGTTTGTTTTGATTTGAATAAACTTTTGAAATCAAATTTTTATTATACTGCATATATTCCTTCTATAGTAAAACAACTGAGTTCTTACATGTTCTGACCAAACCTCTAAAATTCCTTATCTGCAAATAAGCCCTACCAGTTCACATATACTAGTTAATTAAAAATAAGAGTAGGGGTTGTGTGCATTTGTTTACTTCGAGTAGCAGCTGGATCTCAAGAAGGCTATACCTCAGGCAGGGAACTACTGGCAATGAGTTGTCTGTTGTGCTCTCGATGTGCTGGGGACCAAACTGGCGAGCTCACCAGAGGTAGTATGATTTCAAGCAGCACCGTCCAACAGAAATAGAAACGTGGGCCACAAGTAAGAACGATATGTATAATTTAAATTTTTTTTTTTTTTTTTTTTGAGACGCAGTCTTGCTCTGTCGCCCAGTCTGGAGTGCAGTGGCGCTATCTCGGCTCACTGCAAGCTCCATCTCCCGGGTTCCCACCATTCTCCTGCCTCAGCCTCTCGAGTAGCTGGGACTACAGGCGCCCGCTACCACGCCTGGCTAACTTTTTGTATTTTTAATGGAGACGGGGTTTCACCGTGTTAGCCAGGATGGTGTCGATCTCCTGACCTTGTGATCCACCCGTCTTGGCCTCCCAAAGTGCTGGGAGGCATGAGCCACCACGCCCAGCTAAAAATTTTTTAATTTTTAATTTTCATGGGTACATAGCAGTATATATATTTATGGGGTACATAAGGTATTTTGATACAGGCATATAATGTGTTATCCAATTTAAAACTTTTAATAGCCATATTTAAAGAAAAGTTAAAATTAATTTTAGTAATATGTTTTATTTTACCTAACATAGGCAAAATACTATCACTTCAATGTATGACCAAAATTTTAAAACTATTAATGATATTTTATATTCTTTTGTTCATACTGTCTTTAAAATACTGTACTTCACACATATAGCACTTCTTAATTGGATCACATTTCAAGTGCTCAAAAATCTATATATGGCTAGTGTTTACCATATTGGACAGCACAGATATAGAGGAAAAACCAAAAACATTGGGATTAACATAGACCTAAGTCTGAATTCTAGTTCCATAACTCACTAAGCTTTGTGACCATTAGCCAGTTATAAAAACACTCTGAGCCTTGCTGTCCTCATCAGTAAAACAGAAATAATATTACCTGCTTTGCAAATTTCTTATAAGAATTAGAGATAATATATGTAAAATACCTTGGCACATTGTATGCCTGGCACATAACAGAGCTCAATAAAATCCTCATCATCCTCATACACATAGGAGACAAATAAGCATCACTGTAAGAAAGGTCAAATTCCAGTCAACCTAGGTGCCTATCAGTGGTGGATTAGATGAAGATGGGGTACATATACACCATGGAATAATACACAGCCTAAAAAAGAATGAAATCATATCTTTTAGGCAAGATGGATCAAGCTGGAGGCCATAATACTAAACAAATTAACACAGGAACAGAAAACCAAATACTGCACATTCTCACTTACAAGTGGGAGCTAAACACTGAGCACACATGGACATAAACAGGGGAACACTAGACACTATAGACTACTAGAGGTGAGAGGGAGGGAGGGGAGCATGAATGGAAAAACAACCTATTGGCTGCTATGCTTACTACCTGGTGACAGTATCTATACCCTAAACCTCGGCATCACGTAACATGCCCATGTAACAAACCTGCACATGTACCTCCTTATCTAAAATAAAAGTTGAAATTTAAAAAAAAGAAAGAAAGTGAAGGTGGAGAAGAGAAAGGGAAGAACTTGAAATAAGGTTATCAAAATGTTTTCTAACTAAAATCAATCAGCGGTCATCCATACAAAATAAAAACAAAATCCACATTTTCCAAAATTACTATATTGTTAGAATGAGAGATATGGTGGAGGGCTTATAACTCACAAATTTTTTAGAGCAAATTTTTAAAATTTGCTTTCTTGATTATTGTTGCCATACTAATATTACTTTCCATTTCTAAAAGGAGAAAACGGCTGGAAAGGTGACTAGAAAATCGAGTGGCACAGAAGTGGCATGGGGATAAAAATGCTTATACATAATCTATAAAAACTATACTATGTATACTGATAACTAAGAATTCACTATATAATACATAACAAACTTTCTTCAAATAATCGTTATAGTATGTTTTCCATTCATTTATATAAGATCAAAATGCAATACAGAAAATCTATAAAACATACCTCTGATAAAAATGTTTGAGCTGATTTCTGAGCTCCTACATGGAGCAGATATTCATATACGTAGAGTGCTAACCTGGAAAACAAATAAAACATTTATTGAGAAGAAGAATATTAAAATTCATTCTTTAAATAATGCACATCTTTCCATTGCTGAAATATCTTACACACTAACAGTGACCAAAAATAAACCCTTCCTATGCTATTTCAATAGGAATTATTAATAATACATGTATGTTCAGAAAGAACTTAAAGTAATTAAAAGTAGCACATGAAGAAAAAGACAAATGTATTTTTTCTTGGCAAGAAATATATAGAGATTTTTTTCTTGAATCATCTCACTTATCATAAGCTCATTCCCACTGCTATATCTACTATTAATAATCTCTAAATTCCATTTGAAGGCATAATAACCTTTCATTAGTAAAAGAAATGAATTAAGTTAGTGAACTTTCCCAACACTTTATGTCCTTCAATCTTTTTGGTGAATGTTAATGTAAACTCTAGCTGTCTGTAGAAACATATGCCAAAACTGTGTTGAATATCCATTTTAATATTTGCTCAGCAACTTCTCCTTATTCTTTAGATTTGATTGTTAAACCAATAATACTTTAGTTTACAAGGCATTCAGATTCACAGCAAACTACAGCATTATGTAAACTTTAAAGATATCAGATCATATTAAGCATATGGGAGCTTACAGTTTAAAGGTTAACAAAATTATGTATAAATTTATCACTCAAATATAGAATATTGAATGCGTTGTATACACAAACTACTCTCATTATCTTGTGGATTCAGAATTTTCAAGCTACACCATGTGGCTCAATTTCAGTTGAGCTGTTAACAAAATATTATTCATAAACCCAAATTAGTCTGAGGCAGTATTTTTAATGATATCTTGGCCCAATGCCCAGATAGCTCACAACAGTTCAGTTTCTGCTACACTATATTTACCAATATTGAACCAGGTTTACAGTAAACAATACAATGTAACAATAACCACAATTCTGTGGTTATAGTTGTACCACTTGTCTTGCCAAGCAGATTTTCGACTTTTAAAGATTGATGGCATTTACAAAAATGAGTATTTTCTTTATTTTCATGAAAACATATAATGCATCTGTCATGAAAAGAGAAAGCTTGTACACATTCAGTTGCTCTGTCCATTTAATTCTTTCCCCATTCCAAAATTGCCAAATATTGTAGCTACTAAGCACCTTGAGAGAGTAGACCTATTAAAGTTACTCATAGAAAGTAAGTTATTGACTGTGAGGATGAATGTAATTTAGAAACATCTCCTAACATATTCAAATTGAATGATACGTCCTACATCAGTGCTTCTCAACTGCTTTTCCTACCCTAACGCAATAAGCTATATAGCATGCTCCCTTCAGTAGCAGTATCTCCCTGTGGAAGTGTGGCTTATCACCCAAAGTATATCATAAGGGATACGGGAAATTGGAATATTCCTGTAGTTTCAAACAAACAATCCTGCTGGTGATTCTTATCAAATATTCTTCAAACACATACCCCATACCTTTCTCCCCCCACTAGTGACTCTCAACTCTACCGCATGATTCAGTGCCCATGATGGCAAATTGTACCTTGGAAAAGGATAATATTTGTAAAATCTTCTTGGATAGGCTGTGGAACCTCAAAATTGCCTGCCAGTGGCAGTCCTGCCCCACTGCCTGAAAAAAAACAGACTCAGGTAATTCCATGCGGCTTGTAAAACCTTGGGCCTAGAGCCAAACCAATGGTTAGCATAGGAAAGAAATCCCCACCTAAGTAAAAGGCTGAACAATAAAGCTGGTCCACCAAGCTTGGGGAATTTGAAAGTGAGAGGCAGAGAGTGAATAAAGCAGGGGCACCATGTTATGGTGAGAACCTGTTATGGAGAGAACAGACCTCAGAAGAGTCAAGGCTGTGTCCTTTCAATAAACCCCATTCTTTAAGTTAAGTGAGTTACCTCCTTGTAACATCTTCTTTTTCGTATTAATGGGGATAATACAGTTCTTCTAAGTTTTCTTTAGTACCTAAGAAACAAAAAGCTTACCTCTTTACAAGTAAAATCAAAAGTGATAGTCCCCACTGTCTCCCTCTGTAAATCTAAAATAGTGATTCTAAAAAATGTATTAGAAGGGACTGAGAATAATTGGAGGTAAGGGTTTCAACTGGAGATTCTGAAGTATCTTCCAAGGGTGTGAGCCCATCCTACTACTATTAGAATCTGCTGTGGCAGCTCATTGTTACCAACAGGGTGATGAAGTAGGATGGGGCTGAGAAAACCTATCTATAACGCTACCTCATATATTCATGTTCTGCAGTCTCCTTTGAACAAAATTAATGGTTCTCAGGCCATAAGAATCTATGCTCCAAAAAGGGTGTCAGGGAGCAATGCATGGGTGAACAACTAATTAAGTCTACTGCCATGATGACTCCATAATACATGATCAGCAATCTCTAATTTTTTTTTTTTTTTAATTTTCATAGGTTTTTTGGGAACGGGTGGTGTTTGGTTACATGAGTAAGTTCTTTAGTGGTAATTTGTGAGATTCTGGTGCACCCATCACCCAAGCAGTATACACTGTACCTAATTTGTAGTCTTTTATCGCTCACCCTTCTCCCACCCTTTCCCACAAGTCCCCAAAGTTCATTGTATCATTCTTTTTTTAAATTTATTTATTATACTTTAAGTTCTGGGATACATGTGCAGAATTCTCAGGTTTGTTACATAGGTATGTATACACGTGCCATGGTGCTTTGCTGCACTCATCAACCCCTCATCTACATTAGGTATTTCTCCTAATGCTATCCCTCCCCTACTGCCTCACCCACCGACAGGTCCCAGTGTGTGATGTTCCCCTCCCTGTGTCCATGTGTTCTCATTGTTCAACTCACACTTATGACTGAGAACATGCAGTGTGTTAGTTTGCTGAGAATGATGGCTTCCAGCTTCATCCATGTCACTGCAAAGGACATGAACTCATCCTTTTTTGTGGCTGCATAGAATGCCATGGGGGTATATGTGCCATATTTTCTTTATCCAGTCTATCATTAATGGGCATTTGGGTTGGTTCCAAGTCTTTGCTTTTGTGAATAGTGCTGCAATAAACATACGTGTGCATGTGTCTTTTTAGTAGAATGATTCATAATCCTTTGGGTATATACTCAGTAATGGGATTGCTGGGTCAAATGGTGTTTCTAGTTCCAGATTCTTGAGGAATTGCCACACTGTCTTCCACAATGGTTGAACTAATTTACACTCCCATCAACAGTGTAAAAGCATTCCTATTTCTCCACATCCTCTCCAGCATCTGTTGTTTCCTGACTTTTTAATGATTGCCATTCCAACTGGCATCAGATGGTATCTCATTGTGGTTTTGATTTGCATTCCTCTAATGAGCAGTGACAATGAGCTTTTTTTCATGTTTGTTGGCTGCATAAATGTCTTCTTTTGAGAAGTAACTCTTCATATCCTGGACCCACTTTTTGATGGAGTTTTTTTTTTCTTGTAAATTTGTTTAAGTTCCTTGTAGATTCTGTATATTAGCCCTTTGTCAGATGGATAGAAACAATCTCCAATATTTTAATTATCACCTCTGTGTATAGGATTTTCCAAACCTATCTCTGTAGTGCTATCCTCTGTCCCAAGCTCCAAACCTGCTTCTCCAAACTAAACTACTGTTTTAAGTTTGGTGTTTTTTGTTTTGTTTTTTTTGAGACGGGGTCTTGCTCTATCATTCTGGCTGGAGTGCAGTGGTGCTATCAGAGCCATCATCCTGCCTGCCTCAGCCTCCAGAGTAGCTCAGACTACAGGCACACACCACCACATCTGACTAATTTTTAATGTTTTTTGGTAAAGACAGGGTCTTGCTATTTTGCCAAGGCTAGTCCCGAACTCCTGAACTCAAGAGATCCTCCTGCCTAGGCTTCCCAAAGTACTGGGATTACAGGCATGAGCGACTGGACCTGGCCAAGTTTGTTTCTAAAAATATGTTTCTCTCTTAAATTGACCATATCCAAAGTTAAATTCACCTTCTCCATCTGTTTTCATAGTACCCGTGCTCACCTTGATTGGAACACAATTTCTCTGAATGTCAGTTTTTTCATGTGTCAAATAGGAAGAATAATACTTTGCTTGTATTGTCAAAAGGATTAGAAAGCACAGTAAGTAATAACAATTGTTATAATTTTGGCCAATTACCAAATCATCAATTGGATTCTAAGGCACTATCTCTCCCACATTTGCCACTCCTTTCTTTCCTCCTTCCTGCTCTGGAGGAACCACCGGGAGCCACAGCAAGAGCAGGAGCTATAATATTTGCTGTAGCTTCAGATTATGTATTACCCATTAGCTCCCCACAAAAGGACACTGATCCACCAGAAATAAGAATGTCCAGAAAGTTCTGGGGGGAAAGCCCTGTAATAAAAGATACTGTTTGAACACAAATGATTCCGGCAGAGGGGAGTGACATTGTCCATCCATGCAGGTATATCACAGCTTGGTGCCATGTCTAGTAATGTGAGATCACCAAACATAAGAAAGCAACATTATGAGCAGGGCATAGTGGCTCATGCCTGGGAGTAATCCCAAGAAGTGGAAGGCTGAGGCAGGAGGATAGCTTGAGCCCTGGAGTTTTAGACCAGCCTGGGCAACACATAAAAACTCTATCTCCAAAAAATATATATATTTATATATATTTTTAAAATTAGCCTGTATGGCTCACACCTGCAGTCCCATTGATTTGGGAGGCTGAGGCAGGATGATCACCTGAGCGCAGGAGTTCAAGGCTGCAGTGAGCTATGATCGCATCATTGTCCTCCAGTATGAACAACAAAGTCAGATCTTATGTCAAGAAAGAAAGGAAGAAAGGAAAGAAGAAAGAAAGAAAGAAAAGGAGAGAGAGAGAGAGAGAGAAAGAAAGGAAGGAAAGAAAGAAAGGAAAGAAAAGAAGAAAAAGGAAGAAAGAAAGAAAGAGAAGGAAAGGAAGGAAAGGAAGGAAGAAAGAAAAGAAAAAGGCAACATTTTATTTGGATTACTCAACAGTGAAAATTTAAAGATAAATATTGAATATACAAATATTTGAACAGTAATACTTTTTAATTAACATTTTCCTTTTTATGATCGTTAAGAAATTTAAGTACTTTATTAAAATACAGAGTGGCTATTTAGCATAGTAGCTAATGTGATCTAAATACATAGAAACAAATTAACAAATACAGTAAGAGTCAGCTGAAAAAAGTAGAACCAGTCTTTCTTTAAAAAACATTGATTAATGAAAAAGCCTATCAATGATTCATGGATCATATATCTTCAAATTATCTTCATTTCATTCTAATTTTAAACTGATTATCAATGACCAAGTTATCAAAATGATGACCAACAATTCTAGAGAGGGAGCCGAAGCAGGAAATACAAAATATATCTGGCACAGCTCAGCACCTTCTTTACTCCTTGGTCACTACAGGCGCCTAAACTTTAAAAATAAGAACAGAGGTAGAGATTAAGATGAGAAGAACACAGAGAAGAGCCAAAGCGTGAGATCATTAGATAACACCTACACATGTGATGGACACTAGACTCACTGTCCCTCAACTACACACACGTGTACTCACAACTGCAGTGGGAGGCAGACCGGAAACATTAACCAACAGTGATAAAATTCCATAATTGGAATTGTATCGGTCTCCAGTTCTGACAGTCAAATCTCCTTCAACTAGGCTTCATGAATTCAATATCTATAGTAATTTGGATTAGAACAGGTCTTCGGTTTAATCTTCTAATGTATTTTTTAAGAGTGGGAGGACCCCACTTACTCTTTATTTTGCACATGATTCTAATAAAGGGGGTTTTTTGATTTAAAAATTATACAATTAGAAGGAAATTAAAGATACATAATTTTTTTTTTTTTTTTTTGAGATGGAGTCTTGCTCTGTTGCCAGGCTATGCCAAGAGTGCAGTGGCGTGATCTTGGCTCACTGCAATCTCTGCCTCCCAGGTTCAAGTGATTCTCCTGCCTCAGCCTCCCGAATAGCTGGGACTACAGGTGCCACCACGCCCAGCTAATTTTTGTATTTTTAGTAGAGACAGGGTTTCACCATGTTGGCCAGGATGGTCTCAATCTCTTGACCTTGTGATCCGCCCACCTCAGCCTCCTAAAGTGCTAGGATTACAGGGGTGAGCCATCACGCCCAGCCAGATATATAAAAATTAAAAAATAGATAAAAGTGTTCAACTGTTGACTGTCCCTACAAAAATTAAATAAAATTAAAAAGCAATAAAGGACTGAGAAAACAGGATCTGTAATCCTATTTTCTTTATACATTAAACATATTAGCCTTGACATAACATATAGCCTTATGTCAAGGTTAATATGTTTAATATATAAAGAGGTTTTGGGGAACAGGCAGTGTTTGGTTACATGAGTAAGTTCTTTAGTGGTGATTTGTGAGATTTGTGACATAACATCTAGCCTTATGTCAGGCTAATATGTTTAATATATAAAGAGCACAAATAAAATGACATGTCAGAATATGAAGACCTATGAAGATCTTAGTTTTTAAATAATGAGCAAGGTAAGAAAATGAAAATTCAAATAAGAAGAATGGTTACACATGGCCAGTAACTCCAAAAAAAACTGTTCAACCCCTAATCATAAAAAGTATTTCAAAATTTCACTAATGAATGTAGCAAAGACTTTAAAAACATTAAAGCATTCAATGCCTATAAGGGTGAAATGTGGAAGTGTAAATGGTGCAACTTTTCAGAAAAATACCATGGCAAAATGAAAAAGTCATAAGTCTTTTTCTTTTTAAGTGCAGAACAGTTTGTATAGTATGCTCTCATCTGTATCACAGAAATATTCTCTGTATATACAAGCACTGGAACAAGTCGCTCCCATGCTTCCCACGCTCATGGAATCATCTGAGTTCAAACAGTGTCTTTTATTGCAGGACTTTTTTCCTAGAGACTGGGGGCCTGGAATAAGAGGGAGACTTTTCTAACCGCATAACTTTTCTTCTGTTGATTACTTCCCCTGAGCTTATATTTCCTATTTTGAAAGAAATAAATAAGCAATAAAAAATTAAATATTAAACCTTTACATCCTTTTATTTTCCAGTAATCTTTATTCTAAAATACTACAATAAGGATTCAGAAAGCCAAACAATTTATAATGATGCCTGGGGCAAAATTATAGCAGTGAAAAACTGGCAATCTAAATATCTGAGAAAAAATAAATCATTAGATTATGATATATACATGTGATGGGGAAATATATTTTTGCTAAATGTTTAATGATATTAAGAAATGCTCATAATTCATTGTTAAAATTTAAAACTCCCAAATACATACAATGTATGTAGAAAAAGCGTAGAAGGAAGTAAGAGTCACGGCTACTGGCAGAAACAATAAAAATAAGAAGTAACAGATGAAGTCCAACTAGTATGAATGGGGCAAAAAAACTAAGTAAAGCAGTGAAACTAAT